AATAATTTCAAGAACTTTTACATGTTAGTGCTTTCTTTAGGTTCCCATGACACAAAATGGCACAGCGGCATGTCTGCCGACTTACAACGCTAGAAACCGGGTTTCGATACCCGTGGTGGGCAGAGCACAGATAGCCCATTGTGTAGCTTTGTGCTTAATTTCAAACAAACAAAAAACTATAAAAACAAGGATTAGAAGAACTGACAATTATCCTAACCCTATTTGAGTGTATTTTCTGTCTAGGATGACGTAGTTCATTTTCTAAGTTCCAAGTTCTTACTTCTGTTTATAATGAATCGCCCTTCTGGGGACTCCTACTCTTTATACAACTTCTGTCTCTCCAAATGAATAAAGGAAAATTCTCTAATTACCAAAGTATAAAAAAAAAAATGACGTCTGCACAAGTGCAGTTTTCAGGCTGGACATATTTAACAATAGCATTGTCATTCTATCGTTTATCAGTCTTCCCTGATGGAAAGCAGAGAGTGATTGGTTTGGATATTTATGTACATAACATGTAACTAAGCGATCAGATGTTAACATTGTAAAGTAGTTTATTAAAACTGAACATTATTAATCGTTTTTCTATCGTTTGTAGCATCCGTAGGTTGAAAAAATAAGATAGTTTAATTTTGTAGGTGTACTAAGCCAAAAATAGATCAATTGTTTCATTTTCGTTTGTTTCAACTTCGAGTTCAAGTACTTTAACTTCTCATTCATCACGTGTTTTTTTGTTTTTTTATGTTTAAACGCAGCAAGTTCTTTGAATATAAAATAATGAAAGCCAAATGTACCACAACAGTATAATTCATAAGTTCAAAAAGTTTGAAAACTCTTTAACTGTAACTCCTAATGTTGAATTGCGGATGGGGCTTTAAAATTGTTCCTAAAAAAACTGAAAATCTCGCATGTATGGTTAACAAGACGCCATTAAGCTTAAGAAAATATATTTAACTGAGTTAGAAGACGCCATTTAGCTTCAGATTAACTGGGTTAGTAGACGCCATTAAGCTTAAGAAAATCTCATATTTAACTGAGTTAGAAGACGCCATTTAGCTTCAGATTAACTGGGTTAGTAGACGCCATTAAGCTTGAGAAAACCTAATATTTAACAGAATTAGAAGACGCAATTAAGCTTAAGAAAATCTCATATTTAACTGAGTTAGAAGATGTCATTAAGCTTAAGAAAATCTTGTATTTAACTGTGTTAGAATACGCCATTAAGCTTAAGAGAATCTCATAGTTAACCGAATTAGAAAACGCCATTAAGCTTAAGAAAATCTCATATATAATCAAGATTACGCAATGCCTTATCTGATACCTTTCGCTGCTATGCGCGCCAGTGCAGAAAAATGCAACGTGTCTCGTCACCTAAGTAACTATTCAAATAATCAACTAAGTAACGTATATAGCTCAGCGGGACATAATCTTTTAGGACTAACAGACAGTTTAATCTCTGCTCCGTTCTGTGGAAGATGTGGAAGTCAGTAATTTTTGGATACATTCTCCCACGTGCAGTTGACAGGCTATTTATCATTATTAACGAGAAGGGAAGGCACTGACCATTGGAGTGTAAGAAAAACACTAAAAAATTCATGCACGGTTCACATAACGTCGTGGAGCCGTGCCAGTTTAATCGGTTCATACTTGTCGCGTGCTTATTATGAACAGAATAGCTACAATATTTAATAAGCTACATCGTGCAGTTGTTTATTTAACGGTATGGTTCAGTCGGGATGTTTAAGAGAAACTAATTCCGAACCTCACTTCCCTTACAATTGAAAAATGAAAGTTTCTTTTCTTTTTTTTTAAGATTTGTAATAAGTTACAGATTTATCCGCTAGGGGAGGGGTTGGTCCTGTGATGGAGCTCGGGATTTCGGAGCTGACAAGCCAATATCAAACCCTGCGATAATGAAATGTATCAGCTGCACTTTAAGCAGTGGTTGCGTTATACGAGTGACAACCAATCATTTAGCATGCTCGGTAGATGTAAGAGGGCCCGGCATGGCCAGGTGGTTAGGGCGCTCGACTCGCAATCTGCGGGTTCGACTCTCCATCCCGCCAAATATGTTCGCTCTTTCAGCTGTGAGGGCGCTATAATGTGATGGTGAATCCCACTATTCGTTGGTAAAAGAGTAGCCCAAGAGTTGGCGGTGGGTGGTGATGACTAGCTGCCTTCCCTCTAGTTTTTCGCTACTAAATTATGGACGACTAGCGCAGATAGCTCTCGTGTAATTTTGCCCGAAATTCAAACAGACAAAGAAACAAATCCCACTCCCCGTTGGCTCAGCGGTAAGTCTGAGGGCTTATAACTCTAAAAATTTTGATAGCCCACTGTGTAGGTTTGTGCTTAAGAACAAACAACGTTATTTTTTGTTGCTTGCAAGAAAATATTAATTAATTCACTAATTAATAATCAAATAACCAAAATACCAGTTGTTGGAGTTAAACTGAATGATTTATTATATGTTGTATTGAGTTTTGATTAAAAACAGTATTTATTCATAAAATATTTGCAAATTAAAACACAAACATAAAAATAAAGAACAAGCAACAAAACAGTTTGCACAATTGTTTATTGTGAAGGAAAGCTAGCTAACTATATTTCCACAGCAGAAAGACTGAAGACAGGAAAAATACACATTTTTCTTTTTCCATTTTGAAACATCTGACAGAATTTAAATATTGGCATAAAACGAGATATTGTTCAATAATGGAGGTGGTTCGGAGCACTACTATGTCTGTCCTATCCAAGCCGCCCGCCCCCCTGTGGTACAGCGGTATGTCTGCGGACTTACAGCGCTAGAAACCGGGTTTCGATACCCGTGGTGGGCAGAGCACAGATAGACCATTGTATAGCTTTGTACTTAACTTTAAACAAACAGCCGTATTATAACGTATTCCTTTTTTACTTTTGCTCATAAGTTCTTCGAATAAATGCCGAACAATATTATTAGCTGATTTGACTACTAACCCTAGTAATTACTTTTATTAAATTACTGTGTTACGTATTACAATTTCAGATAGCCTGAAATTGAGTTAGATTGTAATTTAGATTTAGTATTTAAATAAATGCCGATATGTATCCAATTTATGATATTTGCCAACAAGATTGATACACACAGTTTCTTTTTAATACAAATATGTTTTAATATTCAAACAACAATACAATTTACGATAACAGTTATTACAAATAGTTATTACAAACAATGATTTATATACAAAAGTTCCACAAACTTACAAGCAATATAAAGTCTTCTTTTTAGTCTGGAACTTCCTTGTTATCTTATCGAGGGTTGACATGAGCGAGTTAATTTCGAGTTGACGTAGGTACAATTCACTTAACAGGGAGCTAGCTAATCCTGTAGTTCTCTCTGATCACACGCCGATTACAGGTTGTGTTTCCTCCGATGACGTTAGGTAATGTTTTCGTAAAAGTACTAATTAGCGAGTTAATTTCGAGTTGATGTAGGTACAATTCACTTAGCAGGGAGCTAGCTAATCCTGTAGTTCTCTCTGATCACACGCCGATTACAGGTTGTGTTTCCCCCGATGACGTTAGGTAATGTTTTCGTAAAAGTACTAATGTCCGGTGTGAATTCACTGAAGTTGAATGGTTTATAATGTTCGAAATTTATAAATGTTCCTGGTCAACTGTCTGAAGTGTCCCGATTAATAAGTGTTATAACAATCACAGTTATAGCTTCCGAAATTTATAGCACATCAACTATAGCAAACCAGTAATAGGTACTGTTTTTGGCGCGTTGCATTGGTTATATTTATAGGCGTGTGGAGAGTTTCTCTAAAATTCAGATTACGTAACAATATAACGCTACGTTTACGTACACGTATATATTGTTGATTCGTACACTCGAGAATCCTCTACAACTTTAGAGAATAGGCGGGAGTTTCGCAATACATAATTAACAGTATACGTTATGTGCATTTCTAAATATAGATTTAATTTAAATAAAAATCGATATTAAAATAAATATAGAATAATAAATCCGTCACAACTTGTTAATGTTAGCGTATGAAACGGTTATAAATCTAACCAACAACACCCAGTCCAATACATTGCCATAGATCAAGGTCACCTGACAAATTATAGTATTGTAATAATATATATAAGGTCAAAGTAAATATATATGATAAAGCAATAAATTTGAAAGTCACTTGATACACAATGTATTACAATGCAGGTGAAGGTCACTCATTCATAAGTCAAGGTCATTTAATACATTATGAGTTTGTAATATACATTGTCAAGGGCTGCAACTGGTTTAGAGCTACCGGTAGAGGACTGTAGTGGCGAAAACGATGATCAGATTCATTCCATAAATGGTCAGTGGAATTGAGATCCACTAACTGTACTGACCAAGGAAGACGATTGAGTCATTTTCGTGCTCTATGAACCAGTTTCATACAATTGATTGTTTCATTATCGTCTTGCAAGGATTATCCTCTGTTAGGTTGGATGTACAGCAGCATGAGGAGGACAAGATCGACAACATCTTTCAAGTATAGTTTAGATATTTTTAGCTCCTTTTTTTTACATTTTATATAATGATTTTTGCATGGTGTAATCGAAATGGGCACATCTGGCATCTGTTACTCTTTAAAGACCGATCCTGTCTAATCGTATTTTCCCTCATCCAACTACAGCTTGTGTTCACAGTTTTTTAACCGGTAGAAGACGGGTTCTCCTTTAATTGCCAATCTCGATAGAATTTCATCTAATCGCCCAAAGGTTTACTTCTATTATTCAGAAATAATCATTTCCGTTGGTTTTCCGTACTGAAGAAACGAAGGGATGAATGTTCGAAACATAGCTAACTAAACACTTATGAAAATTTTGGTTTAACAGTCCTATCCAATAAGCAAAAACAAGCAGAAAACCAGATTATTCTGACAAACTAACTACCTTTGTTGGATTCGTACAAAAACAACAAACGCACGCACACACACACACGCATATATATGTGTATATATATATATATATATATATATAGGCTTTTTGAAAAGTCTGATTAAAGACATTAATTTGTTACTCCCCCTTTAGATTTAATTACCCTTAATGTATATTAATTCTCATCTATAATTCCAACTGAAACCAACTTTACACACATTTCATAAATGGATTATTTTTGGCTATTTCATTTATTATTACGGTGTCTACGATTGGTGCAAGTGTGTGAGGAGGGGAAGGAGAATTGGCTACAGCTGCACTACATGATAATTAGTGGAAAATAATTAACAAAATTCTTATAATTAATTAGGTCTTAGATCAAGTTGAGTGTAAAGATTTGGGTTGTTATATAATTAATGATATTGTTGAATTTTTAAAAACTTATATAAAGATAATGTTTTGCTAATTCCATATTAAGAGTGGCACACTATAATGTTATTATGATCAGGTAAATATATAATAGAACATTTACCAATTATTGAAAATTTTAATCACATTATAAGTTTCATGTAACATACGTTATAGTTGTATGTTTTGAAATTGAATAAAGGATTTTTGTACATAAGACAATACTGGATAATAAGTTTTGGAATAATCGTAACAACGTTTTCCCACAGTATTTCCGGCGGTCACTCTTGTATGGGCTCATCGAAAAGGTTCTTCAGCTGTAATATACAGGTAATTATTATCACTTGCTGTGAGAGAATACTGGTTATGTTGAAGTTTAACTTCGTATACTTTCACAAACTATCTTCTGTCATAAGAAACCTACATCTTACGTAATTTTGTAATCATATAAACTAATTAATTGAAGCAATAAGTTACTTTTGATAGTTTTTTTAAAATAGTTCAGCTGTTTAAAATTTTCTAGAAATTATCATGTATTAACCACAATAAGCTAGTGTTCGAAAATCTTGGTAGGTAAACCATCATTTAGGCTTAACTGTCATTCATATACATAACCTTTGTTTATTATTTTATTATTCAGACAAATATTACGTTATGTTTAGGTAGTTTATTCAAAAGCAATCATCAGTTCTCAGTTTCGATGCATTCTAGATTGGTGAGGAGAATTCTCAGTTTAGATGTATTTTAGATTGGTGAGGAAAATTCTCGGTTTCGATATATTTTAGATTGATGAGGAGAAAAGATCTAACAGCTTTTGAAGTGAAGAGGCGTTCTATGCAAAATGCTAGAATATGTTTATTAAAAAAATAAATACAGTTATATTGATCTTAGCTTCCCTTTTGAGCTTTTTTTGATAAATGTTTTTGTCACTCCGAGTTGAAGATCTCTCGGCATATTTAAGAGAATGAATTGCAAATTCAACTCAAACGCTTTGATGTCATGATAAAAAAAATATTGACTTGGAAATGTTTATATGCGTGACAACGATAAACGTTCTATCATTATTCTCAGTCCGAGTGTACAGAACATTACTCCTGTGTACTGCACAATGTTAAAATCTGTAGAACACGCCTGTTCTTCATCAAGACTCTAATAACAACAACAACAACAAAAGAGACAAATAACGTATGCCACAGCATTCTTTCCATACTCCCTGCTGAGCCATCCAGAAATGGAGTTTTCGTGACAGCACTGTCTCCTGAATACATACGTAGCGAACGTTGATCTTCTGGACACTACGACCCAGTGACCTTTTATGGAAATTGAGAAAGTCATACATAATCTCAGTTTGTTTGTTTTTGTAATTGCACATGAAAGTGGAAGATTATCTAAATCAAAGAAATAAATATCTAATGCTTATAACAATAAGGTTCTATAATATTTCAAACTCGAATACTATTTCAAACATGCCTTTGTGAATGTGTTGTTTGAGGACTGAAATACAACTTCTAAAGAGATGACGTAATTGTTTACGATAAGTCGTCACTTTGAGTTCGTGGTTTACACTTTTATTTTCTGAAACTAAGTGTTGTGAATATGTGAAATAAATCTTAATGTTTTAAGTAAATAACAAATTGTTTTCATATGTTGATGTATTATATTTTTGAACATAGTTCCATCAAATATAAAGGCAAACCTGCTCTTAATTTAAACGCGGATAAAGAACATTTCAAGAACTTTGATAATTTTGTATTTGCTAGTTTCAAAAATTAATAGTATTATAAAAGATGTTTTCACTTTACGAACTGACAGGAGAGTTTCTTTAACACTTTGATTACTTTCTAACACTGACAGAATCTTCCTACAATCTTTAATGAACAAACACGTGCTTTTTTTAATGTTAACAATGATGTATATGGGTTAAGGGTGTCGCGTTCTGTCTGTCAAGCAGTGATAAAAGGTGCAAATGAGATAATGTTTTAATAATCAGGTGCAACTTGTTGTATTATAACAGGATTACTAAACGAGTGAAAAATATTGTTATGAGTAAAGGTTTGATATTGGAATTTAATTATGTTAGATAATACAAACGATACCATAAGAAGGTGAAACTATTACATAAGTCGGATATTTAATTTCCTGTAAAAAAAGAACACGCGTATTGTGTTTAGCTCTTGTTATTTTCCCCCTGTTATCCCATGGTTGAGTGAGTTTTAGGTAACATAATCGCTACTAACTGAAATAGTCGATATCTTGCTGCAATTGCTGACACGATAAAGTAAACCGATGGCAATTTATGAATAAGTTCGTAATTTAATGAAGTTCCATAGAATGTATTAAAGGTTTACAGATATTATTTGAAACTAATTTCCTTGAGAGTTATTTCGGTCTCCCTTTAAATTGTCAAGGTATGATGGAGAAATTGTTATTTTTTTTTCTAAAGCTTCATTAAAGTGTTTAATAGAAGAGCCACCAAGTCGTTTTTAATCCATCACATATTCGCTGTCTCGTATAGTGTCCATAATGCTGTGTAATGTGGAAGTTGTTGTGCACAACTGCATTGTTCTGTGACGTTTGAAGTTTAATATAATTACTGATATTGAAGTAGACGAAATCAGGGCAGCCATGTTTAACGAGAGACCGAATAAATATCAATTTTGCTTATATTGCTGGAGGCACAACCTTTGCGGTATCCTCCTAGACATCGTAAAATATTTATAATTTTTTAAAGATACTCTCACTGTACGATCTTTGTTGTTACACTAAAATGAGTATGAAAATCTATGTTAAAAATATTTGTTAAGTATCAGTTCTGAAAACGTCTGTAACAGAATGTATATTTGTGAATGATCAGTTTACTTTATATTCATTAATGATCAATTGTAATTTCGACCTGAATGTTTTTAATAGGATTGTCCACATGGGTCACGTGATTTTCGAGAAGAGCAGTGTTCCAACTTTAATTCTCTTCCGTTTGAGAATAAGTACTACAGTTGGGTTCCGTATTTAAAAGGTATAGCTTTGATACTTTAACAAATTCTGAGGTTTTGAATATTTTTACATTTAGATACTATAATTAAGTAAAATATATTGTCTAAGATACTTTAAAACTTGGAAGTGTAATGAATAAATTCTAACGTCTTGAGTATCCTTACATTGAGAATTGATGTATGAATATCATGCATATATGTGATCTTGATATATTTTCCACTGAAACTTAATGGATTTGGTTTTACCTTTGGCCAATCGTTGTTCTCTTGTATACAAGTAATAGTAGGTCATATTTTAAAGATACTCATTTTGTATTATGATAACTTGTTTCAAGAAGTTGTGTAAAAAACAATAAAAATTCATAAAATATTTTACTTTTAACACAGTTGTTCTATATGTATCTTGATTGTAATAAAGAACGAAGACATTATAAAACAGCAATCTATAAATCAGAGGTGTAGGGGGTGGGGCAGAGGGGCACGTGCCTTCAATAACTTTTAAACAACAGGGTATGCAAGACATTTAATAAAAACGTTGTTATTACTGGTTTGGTATTTTAAAGCCAAAGAAATATAGATGGTAGCATTACGTTTAGCTGGTCTAAACACACGTAATAATATGCATTAGATTTCATCCTACTGAGACAAGACATCAATAATTTGCGTTCCTTATAAAACCAAGCTACAACTGACTGTGTTATGGGTCATCAAAATACAATTCTAGCAAAAAAAAAAAACAACAACATTATTCAAAAACTAAATAAAAAAAACACTCAGAGGTTATCTGTAAAATGTATTGTAATGTTATTTGCCTTTTAATAGCAAATCCAGATAATGATATCATTTTAAGATAATCACATATTTATTCTAATTATTTAATGTTATTTATATATCCTAATAATCACATAAATGTATTGTTTTTGCCAATAGGTAACGTATAACCTACGTGTGTTATCTTCTTGGTTGCATTTAAGTATGGTATTATGAATATAATCAATGATGTTTTGACAAGATAACTGAAAAGTATTATAATGTTATGAAAGGGAAATTTTTGGTGCCCCCGCCCCCAATACAAAAAGTACTCGTACGACCCTGTAAGGTAATTGTTAGCCGTTAAATTATCAAGTACTGCGGAGTTCAGACTGGAACAGTAAACCTTATAAGTTTAGTAAAAATTATAGTTTTTTTATATTTTTTCTGTATTTACCATTTTTTTTTTTTTTTTTTCTTCACAGAATCTAATCCATGCGAACTTAACTGCAACCCAGTAGGAGAGCTATTTTATATTCGTCATAGCAGAAAGGTTATTGATGGTACCCGTTGCTATAACGACGGGTCGCGAGATGTTTGCGTGGACGGAGTGTGTATGGTAGGCGAGACCAATTCATTAACTTTATACTTTTTCTTTAGCGGTTGAAGCAAAGTTTAATAGATTACTACCGTTTTTATTCATCTAAATTAAATAGCACTTAAAGAGATGAACAACGTTTCTATAGTTACTATATTTCAAAGTAATATTAAGGAGTTGAATGACGTTGTTGTGGTTCGTATATTTAAAGAAAAGCAACAACATTAAAACGATGAACAACTTCAACTATTTACCAAATTTTAGTAAACTGACAAATTAGATCACGTAATTATATCGTTTGGATACATGTAAAGGTAAATTTATTTAAGAATTTGTTTCTTTCTAATAACAACAACAACAAAATTCTAGGCAGCCGTTATTTCGTAAGAGATTTTCACTCTTTTACAATAATAACAACATTTGTACATCCAACAACACTGCTTTATTTCAACAATACTAATGACGTAAAACAATTGCCACAGAGATGTGTACCTTTCAAATGCTAGTGTAATCAGATGTGTGTGAAAATATTCAGACGTACCCTAAAACGATGTAATAAAAGGCTTGAATAAGGGCTAGAGTGATTCTGTTGAAGACATTGTCACTAAGCTGTGTACGCTGCCTAAACGTTTTTTCTAACAGGCTGTTTTAGTAACATTAATGTATAGTTAACTAACTATAAGAAAAGCACGTTATTTGTTAAGAGCTGGTAATAGTGTTGTTTGTTTAATCTCAAAGAGAAAATGTAATGTGTATATATAACTAAATCCATACTGAAAATAAACAAACAAAAGCCTCCTGAGGCAACATGAAATAATGAATTTCTTGTCATTATAATAACTATTTTAGTAATACCTGATATTAGTGTTCAATGTCTCTTAAAAATTGAACAATAATTTATGTGGCTTTATATCTATATAATATTTAAGTGAACGGTAATTTATGTGGCTTTATATCTATATAATATTCAAGTGAACGATGATTGATGTGGCTTTATCTATGTGATATTCAAGTGAACGATGATTGATGTGGCTTTATCTATATAATATTCAAGTGACGATGATTGATATGGCTTTATATCTATATAATATTCAAGTGAACGATGATTGATGTGGCTTTATATCTATGTAATATTTGAGTGAACGATAATGTACGTATATCTATATAATATTCAAGTAACGATGATTTATGTGTCTTTATATCTATATAATATTAAGTGAATATTTAATAAGGATTTTACCTGTACTTATTTGATTATACTTTTTTAATGCTTTCTCTCCTTTGGTTTTATGCACGTTTTACTTGTTGTGACCTTTCACCTGACTGTATTGGACAGCTCTAGGAAAACGTTGCATTTTAACAACTGCATTACCTAACATTTCAATACCCCCGGTGGGCAGAGCACAAATAGCCCATTGTGTAGCTTTGTGCTTAACAAGAAACAACAACAACAGCTTTGCGCTAAAAAACACACAAAAAACATTCTAGAATTTCATTTTTTATTCAAACTTTTTGTTACGTGGCCTTATTACTCATAAACATTAATATACTGTTCAAATAAACGAGAATTCCAAATTCAACGCTGTCGTTTCTTAAAGCAAAACGAAGCTACACAATGGAGTTATCGTATACCGCTGGGAATGAAACCCCGGATTCTTGCAAAGTCTGTAAATTTACCGCTGACTTATTACGCTTTTAATTACCAAAGAAAAAGTAGTATGTAACATTTGTGATTTATAATTTTTATCATAATTGAATTTCGTTAGGTGTTTTGTTTGTTTGTAGTTAAGCACCAAGTAACAAAAAGGTTATCTGTGCTCTGCCCATCACGGGTATCGAAATCCGGTTTCTAGTGTTGTAAGTCCGCAGAGCTACTGGGGGGGGGGGCGATAGGCGTTTTTAGTTTAGTGTTAAAATCAAGTGTTTTTTTCTGTTATTTTCTGTTTTCTGTTCAGCCAGTAGGATGTGATTTGATGCTTGGATCTAACGCTAAAAAAGACAAGTGTGGAGAATGTGGAGGGGATGGAAACAATTGTAGAACGATTGAAGGCCTTATTACTGACAATAATTTACAAGTAGGTGAGTTGAACTATCAAATATTATTGAAGTTTTTAGGAATTGTGTATGACTTTTTTATATCATTTAGAATACTTTATTTATTTATTTTTATATGCGTACGGCGTATTTCAACAGTCGATCGATATAGACTGAATATCTATACAAGTTTACAGAATTTGCTCAAAATGTATACGGTATCGAAGAAAGCCAATTCAGCTAACCTCCACACTTTCATTGGCACTGAGTAATTGTTAATATGTTTAGCCCTAGTCCACTTTCAGTGCATTCACGTGCAATGACATGGAAATCCCTGGTCAATATATGGTAGCAGCACCACCGAAGGTTAGGCTTCCAGTGCTAATAAGGATGAAGAACAGGTTAATAAAGGCAACCGACCAGCACAGAATCCAAAAAGGCATGTGATCCAGCCATAGGTCATTCATTGTGATCTTCTTTGTAAGTACCTTGTCGAAAGAATAGCCAAATGGTTAGCTTCAGTGAAGACTTTGCTAAAAGTAAATAAACCTGTCAAAAATCCAGAGGTTAGTGGCAAGATCACTTCCACAGTATCACCAGGGCTGGAGCTACCAGTGGATTTCTTCGACTTCCCTAATGATAAGCCATCAAGTGTTGATAAATGGTAAGAGGTCATCTCATCTTCGTACCTAAGCCACAAAAAAGAAAACCACCAAAACAATTTAATGACTCTATAGATTAGAGACAGCAACTGAGTAAAGAAAGAAGATTTTGCGTGGGTAATCTATTTTTATTGTACTAGATTGTTTTACTTTGTATAATTAAACATTTAATGATTTTGTTTCTTTGTTTAAAATCCATTGAGAGAGAGCACTGTTCTAGCTATATTTTGTTTAATTTAGACGTTTGTGATACTGTTGTTAGAGGCGGGATAGAGGGAGTCTTGATGTCACGTTATGAGCGTGCGCCGTATGTATAGCATTTTCTTTAAATTTTAGAAAATTATTTGTGTGATATAAAACGTGGGTTAGACTAGAATTGTTATTCATTTGAATGTTGAATTACAGAATTTTTTAGTCAGCTTGTCTGTTTCTTTAGTTTTGTGAACATTGAGCATATGTTTGAAAGAAATACTAGAGATACAAGAAAGTTCCATAAGTACGAAACCTTAATATATGAGACAAAATTGGAAAATGAGTGACTATTTAGCATTATTTGAAAGTTAAGCTTATCACTCAGTGAACGTTAGGTTAAAGAAAAATTTGTAAAACTTACTGTCGAAGAAATAAAACACTTTCGTTTTCATTAAGTGGACTGCATTTTGCATTTTTCTTTTTCTCTCTCTTTTATTTTTACCGAATAATCCAAAAGATCCTCCCCAGCAGTAGAAATCATTTTAACGTAAAGTTTGAGAGAAACGTCTTATGTTGCAACCACGTAAATTTAGCTTCTTTATTCTGATCATCTCTCATCACGTGTTATTGTAATATATTACTTATCTCAAGCGCTAGCAGCTTCTCTTGGTTTTGAATCGATGAGACTAGTGAGATTAGATATATTTGTTTTTATACATTTGGAACTTGATATTTTTATCTATAGTATAGATTATGTTGAACTAGCTTATTATTTAATTGATATCGATTATATTCGTCTGATAGTTCTTCACGGATAAAGCTTGGGTTTCGTAAAGGTACTCTGTAAGACTAGAAATCTTTCGAAATCCTGACAATGACATTTTTCTTTTTACTTTACCATATTTTCTGTATTAAACAATCTATTTCTTTAAGTACCTACGGTAAGGTTGTTGCGATTAAATTATCAATCGTTGAAATACGATTACCTAAGTCTAATTATTAATTACTTACTAAATTTTTCTGTGATTTTTTTTTAATTTTGCGCAAAACTACACGAGGGCCATCTGCGCTAGCAGTGATAAACTAGAGGGAAGTAAGTCAACACCAGCCACCGCCAACAGATAGTGGGATTGACCGTAACATTATCACGCTCCACGGCTGAAAGGGCGAGCATGTTCGGTGTGACGGGGATTCGAACCCGCGACTCTCAGATTGCGAATCGAGCGCCCTAAACATCAGGCTACGCCAAACCTATTTATCATTAATGAGTTTGTAAAATTTATTTGTTAGTCGATATATTTTCCTTTTTTTTTTTCATCTGTCTTAACGACACCCGGGCAAAATTGTATCTTACTAATAATATATTATAATACATATTTCAAAGAGCTAAATAATATTTTTTTAAGTTGTTGTCTCTATATTTTTAGGTTATAATGACATCATTCTCATTCCGGTGGGTTCTACAAATATCAAAGTAACGGAGAAGAATGCAACAAACAACTATTTAGGTAATGGAGTGTGTTGTTAAATTCTAGAAGTTGAAGTTTTTGGGTAATGAAGTATGATGATAAGTTGTTTTTTTAAATAAGTGTTATGTTAAAAGGTAAATGTTCGACATGTTAAAGCATTTGGTGAATAAGTGTAATGTTAAAAGGTAAAGGTTCTAGACGTTGAAGTATTTGGTGAATAAATTTAATGTTAAAAGGTAAAGATTCTAAACGTTGAAGTATTTGGTTAATAAGTGTAATGTTAAAAGGTAAAGGTTCTAGACGTTGAAGTATTTGGTGAATAAATGTAATGTTAAAAGGTAAAGGTTCTAGACGTTGAAGTATTTGGTTAATAAGTGTATTTTTAAAAGTTAAAGATTCTAAACGTTGAAGTATATGGAGATTAAGTATAATGTTAAAAGGTAAAGGTTCTACATGTTGAAGTATTTGGTGAATAAATGTAATGTTAAAAGGTAAAGGTTCTAAACGTTGAAGCATTTGGTGAATAAGTATAATGTTAAAAGGTAAAGGTTCTACATGTTGAAGTATTTGGTGAATAAATGTAATGTTAAAATGTAAAGGTTCAAGGCGTTAAAGTATTTGGATGTTGAGTAACTTTGAAGGATCTTGTATGTCATGTGAGTATATTTACTAATCGTTCTGTTTTTAACAAGTTATTAAGTTACAATGAAGATCTCTTCAGCATGTATTCTGAAATTTCGTCTCGAAACAACGACAGAAGTTCCGAGTAAGCTCATTCCACGAGATACGATGTAGTTCATCGTTTCACAGATTCTTCTACATGCCCAAAATGGCGGGAAATAGAAGCATATAAAGTTCACACGTATTTTATGCAAAACAAACTTGTCTATGAAACCAAACAGAACCACTTCCCACAAAAACATATAACCACCATTTTCTAACATTTAATATAAAGGTAACAAAACTTGGACAGGAAAGCATGATTTTCTATGTACACAGCTCACGTGAGACAAAATAGGGAAGCTTTACGTAGAAGGAAGGAGAAACCGTTGTGTGAGTGTTCTTTCAAACAACTATAGACTTTTAACTTCCCATTCCAGATTCTACGATTCCAAAACATACAGTCGAAGTTCATCTTCATACTGTTTGAATTATGCGAGGCTCTTCTGCATATTTAAACTCTGTGACTTATAATTATCTTTGTCTTATAGCTGGTTTCAAATCTCACGTTTATTCCCAATGGGCTACTTTCTATCAGTTATTTAAACATATGTAGAAATGTAAATGTTTAATCACAGAATCTCTTTGGTAACATAAAACTATTACAATCAAATTCAGTTTGCCTTTAAACTACCGCTGGTGTAACGGAAATCCTCTTGAATCATTTGGAGTACAATGTGAAATTACTTGTTTGCATGTCCAGCTTCCGAGTTGTTTGCATTTCTCTTTCCACATCTCTGGAGACCTGGATAGTTGATTGTGACATTATGTTCTGGTGCGGGGATGAGTGAGTGAATATGGAATATGTATATACACGTTTTCTGCATAAGGGTGTTCATATGTAATCCAGGTAGTACTAAATAGAAATGTCGGTTTCGTCTTCTGCTGCTATCGTATGTAATCCAGTAAGTACTGAATAAAAATGTCGGTTTCCTTTTCTGGTGGACTCAATTCACTCACATGATTTAGCCAGAATAGATTTTTATTGTTCCAAATTTGTAGTTTCAAACCATATTTTTATATGTATGTCGATAGTCGCTTTTGATTTGGTTGTCAGAGGGAAATTTAAGTTTTATTTAATTATTAACTTTGGTATTAATGCTGTGTTATTTGAAAAACAAATAAATTTACATAAATTATCAGCTCCATCCGAATCGTAATTGGATTATAGCAGACAGAAGATGAAACCGACTTTTCTATTCAGTAACTGCTGGATTACGTACAATAGAAGACAGAAGAGGAAATCGACTTTTCTATTCAGTACTTACTGGATTACACACGACAGCAGACAAAAGATGAAACCGACTTTTCTATTCAGTACTTACTGGATTACACACGACAGCAGACAAAAGATGAAACCGACTTTTCTATTCAGTACTTACTGGATTACACACGACAGCAGACAAAAGATGAAACCGACTTTTCTACTCATTACTTGCTGAATTACACGTGATAGTAGAACAATAAAAATCTATTCTGGCTAAATCATGTGAGTGAATTGAGTCCACACAAGTTATGGATACATCCTTTATAAGATTTATTCTTCACTCCCAAGCCTCACATGTGGAATGAGGTTTAAGTGAAGTTAATTATGTGATTTAGGGGCAGAGTCAGGTGCTCAGTTGAACTCAAAACACCTAACAATTAAACGATATATCAATCACCATCTGTATCTAGTTAATGGAGGTTAATATGAGCGTGTAAATCTTCATTTGGTCCTTTCGATCAAGCCCTAATTTGATTTGTTGTAACTTATTGCGCAACACGGTATATTTCTTCTGCAAGAGACTGGAACTTATTAGCTGTTCTATCAAGGGTATCTCTGTTCAAGGACAGGGCATTTGGTTGGTTGGTTGGTTGCTTTGAATATTTGTGCACAACAATACAAGGGCTATTTGCGCTAAACGTCTCTGATTTTGAACTGATAGACTAGAGGGAAGACAGCTAGTCAACTGCACCCACCGCCAACTCTTGAGCTTCTATAATAAATTAGTTGGATTTGAACGTCACTCTCATAACGCACCCACAGTCTCAAAGTGCGGAGCGCGATTTTGCGGCCACGAGACACAAACCATTCACAGTCCGGAATGCTAACCACTAAGCTACTCCCGGCTCCCAATAGAGCGAACTACTTTCAGTGGACAAACTGAGCCTTCTGTGTTATTTTAACTTAGGAATTTTCTTACCGTGAAAAATCGATAATTTACGTAAATAAGAGGTTTCCTTTAGAAATTAGTTAACTTTGAATTGTAATGATCCTAGTAGACGTAATTTTGTAATGGTGCTGGAAGTACAAGTATTAACATCTTAAGGGAAAAAAGGTAACTTATCAAAACTGTTTCATATTCACTTAAAAGTCACCCGGTGCGTCACCATAAGTTTAATTTGCAACGCTAAAATCCGTGGTACGATTCCTCGCGGTGGACAGAGCGTAGATAGCCCAGTGTGTATGTAGCTTTGCACTAAAAACAATAACAATTCACTTGAAAGGCATGTAATGGAAATAAAACAATCAAAATAAATTTCAGCAAATTAACGTAATAAGTAGTGTATATTATTGAATAACAAGCTTTCTTCTTTTCCATTTGTTGCAGAAAGTTTTTAGCCAAAATAAGGACATAAACTAGCCATATAAAACAACTAAAGCTTAACTACAAGGAAAGATACACATTCGTATAAAACCGAAAAACTCCAGGGATTTCTAAATCATTGAGATTTTACGAGAGAGAGAGAAGACATTAATACAGAGGCGCTTACTTGCTGGCCCAATAGTTAGGATGCGAGACTGTGATCCTGAGGTTGCGTCGTTCATGTCCCGTTACCCCATATAAAAATTTGCGTTCTGAACTATAGGGCCTTGGATGCGTTACAAACGTGACTACCAAATCCCACTATTTGGTCTGACAAGTGTAGCCCAAGAGTTGATGGTGGGTGGTTTTGACTAGCTGCCTTCCCTCTAATATATATAACTTGAAAATTAGGGACGGCTAGCGCAGGTAGCCTTTGAATAGCTTTGTGTGAAATTCAACATACAAACAAAGCTTACTTACTACGTCATACTAAGTAAATCATTTATAAACTAATACTTCATATACAAGTACAGAATCATCCTTAAGTAAATCATATATAAACTAATACTTCATATACAAGTACAGAATCATCCTTAAGTAAATCATATATAAACTAACACTTCATATACAAATACAGAATCATCCTTAAGTAAATCATATATAAACTAATACTTCATATACAAGTACAGAATCATCCTTAAGTAAATCATATATAAAATAACAATTCCAATACAAGTACTGGATCATCTTTAAGTAAATCATATATCAAATAATAATTCAAATACAAGTACAGTTTCATCCTTAAGTAACCTTGGACACTTTCTTAGAACCACCAAAATCAACAACCACTAGCAATGGAAGAGAGTAAAATATCCTTAATTATTATATACGTTATATTCATGATTCGTTACCTCTTATAGACCATACTTTGTTCGAGTTTCGCTTGTGATTTCAACTGTATAAAGCAAAACGACCAATACCTCAATTTATCTATTCCTTTGTATAACATTCTGTCGAGGGATTAAAAGCAGGGAGGGGGGCCGTCGGTTATATCTTTATTTATAAGAACCCTGCTTGAATTGAAAACAGGGATAATGTTACACTTTTATTTTCTTCTCTGTAGGAAGCAGAATTGTTAAGTTGCTTCCAAAGTATTGGGCGGTCTAGAAGATGTTAATAGAAAGGTATATTGAACACAATGGCGCATGAACCGGGGTTAAGGCTCCCCTCTACACTTATGCAAGCTGGAGTGGCAGCGATCGTCCTCAAGTAGAGGAAATCCAATAAGAACCAAAACAACAACGAATTTTCCATTTAGAAATTCTATAAGGATCAAAACAACAACGAATTTTCCATTTAGAAATTCTATATTTTCATTCATAGGTTTAAAAAAGCAGGTGTGTGTATATATATATATATTGTGTAGTGTCATCCATTTGTTACTAGTTGCTCAATATGCTATGTGTGTGTGTGTGTAAGTGATATCTGATGATATTAGGTCAGTTGAAAGTCGCTTCCCTCTGGCGGAAAGAAGTTCCTACACCACTGATTGAATGCATATAAACATTCAATTATAGACGTATAAACGCCCCCCCCCCACAGTGGGACAGCGTTAAATTTACGGATTTGCAACACTTAAATCCGTGGTTCGATTCCTCGCAATGGACAGAGCGTAGATAGCCCATTGTTTGTGTAGCGAAATTTCACAGTCACGGGACGCGAACAATTGACCGTTAAATTCGCAGTCCGGCACGCTAACCACTAGGCCACGCCAGGCTCACGACAGCTTCAGAAGGTATTGTTTCTTCATCATCACGTAGCGTAACAGAAGTCAATTCTATGATATAATATAATCGTTCTAGTTACGCAGGTTACCGTTAAGTAACTACGTTTATTTCGGTTAACTGATAAATCCATATTGTAGGTAAGCTGACCAAGAATCATATTAAACCAAGTTTTTTTATTTTTGGAACTAACCACAAGTGTTCGGCTTTCATTACTGAAGCGTTTGGAAATAATATAGTAGCTACTTTAAAAATCTATATCTTGTTAAATTCAAGAGGGGCCACGCTTTTAATTATTATGCTTAAATGGAGATCCCCAAGATCCGATTCTTCGCATGTTTCAATAAACCGAGAATAATCATATAGCGAGAAATAAAAAGATGAGATGGGTAAATCAGAACGTGTCTAATAAATGTATATAAGCCCTCAATTAAGTGGCACGACACCAAGACTCTCTAATTGTTATTATTTAGTTTTTTTAGTATAGTGGTTCAAGTGACAGGCTGCGGATCTCAGGGTCCAAGGTTAAATCCATGATGTCGCTGAAAACGCTTCTCTCTCTCTTTCAGTTGTGGGCGCGTTATAAAACAACAGAAAATCTAGTTATTAAAATTCGATTACGAGGAACCCACTTTGAGACTAATAATGGTTGGAGACGGCTTGAATGATGATAAAACCTTGTCGAACCGTTGTACATTTGCTGTTGTGTTAAACCTATATTAAAGTTTTTCTTCATTATCCACTCAAGCCATCTCCAAGCATTATTAGTCTAGTTATTAGCTTCATCGTGCCGGACAAAACCTTGTGGCGGTGGGTGCTGCTGCTTGAATGTCCTCCCTCTGATCAGTAATTCAAAATTCGAAATAGCCATAACCTGAACACTATACGAGTCTCTGACCTGGTTGTTTAGCCCATGTGTCACATAAGTTGCCGCTATTTAGGTTGAAAATTCCAATGTCTCTCGTGTTTTATTAATACACGGTTATTGACATCTTAATAATCACATACTCAAAGTTATACAACTTAAAATCATAAAACTTTGAAATGACGTGAATAGTTCATCTCTTAATTGCAGTATTTGTTGCAAGCCTTAGACGTTATTTTTCAATGAAGAATCAAAATAAACTCGATTGGAGAGTACAGTTATAACAAGACTTTATTAACTCTAGAATGAGTGATGGACCCAATGAGCTTTTTAATAATGTTTCTAAGCTACTGATTCCCCAAACTTTGTTGGTTGTCAATTATCTAAGAGGAAAGAGTACACAGAAAAACAATTAAATCATTGTACTGGTCATTTGAGTCTCTAACGTTATACATTAAGACAAGTAGACATAGAGTTTGTTTAAGCGCAAAGCTACATATTAGGCTATCTGTGTCCTGTCCATCACAGGGAATCGAACACCGGATTTTAGCATTATAAATCCGTAAACTTACCGTTAACTCACTGGGAGACGACACAGAGAAAGATTAAAAGTTAATAAAGTCTTATAGTAGTAATGACCAAGTAAATATGTAACAAAAAGAGCACACACACACACAAAACAAAACAAAAAGACAGCTGAATTATTCTATTGACCAGTTAAGTTCCTTATATAGGAAGAGCGCACAGAGAGAGACAATAAGTTAACTCTTAAATTACCGACTTGTCTCAATGCCGTTCATTACCGGTGGGGTCCATATATTGCAACATAACTAAGTAACGTTATGTTTTTGCCTGTTACAACGCTTGCTGTAAAGAACTGAACAACTAAAAAGGTGACCTTAGTCATTTTGTATGTGAAATACCTAGCTAACTCCAGCGGTAGTTAATGGGATTAATAGCAACATCGGTGGTATTTTTGTTTCAATATTTTTCTGTCATTTATATATTATTAGGGACTCTAAAATAAGTCTTACAGTATTAGTGAGCATTGACCTATTGTCCTATAATGTTAGGGACTGCAATAATTTAGATGTTTTCCTACGTATTCTTTTCTGTTATAAATTTGAGTGGTCACTATACGCAATAGGAATTTATTATTTCTAGTTTCCCTCTATACATGTGCTTGTTCTATAGTGTTGGGAACTTAACTGGCCGTTACGATGATTCAGTTGTTTTATTTCCTAGCGGTCAGAAACATGACTGGTCACTACTACCTGAATGGTAACTGGGGTCTAGTGTTTTCTGGGATATTGAAGTTTGCTGGGACAAAGTTTCACTATGAACGCAAGTCCTACAGTGACCTTTCCACAGAACACTTATGGGCACACGGTCCAACGACGGAACCACTTTTCATTGTGGTAAGGCTTTATTTTGTTTCTTCTAGAAAATAAATAATTATCTAAAACTTTTTTTTTTTGGTTGGGGAGGGGGTGGGTGTAAACTAGCTCTTACATGAATATTGTGGACAGGGCATACTTTTCATATCTTCTGTCAAAATGTAATAACCTTCAGCTAATAAAATTCAAACTTCCATGATTTTACGACGTCGTAGAATCTTTATTGGTGAAGCTTCGATTAAATATTACGTTTTCAGTAAAGTAGTGTAGCTTTGGGGATTTTTCATGGCGAGAAAGACGACACCATGATGGAGTAAAAGTTTCATCATTTTAAGATATATCAGAAACAAACAGTTTTTGAAGTAAGAGATCGTAATCATTTCGAATAAGTTGTATGAAGTCATCAGGTATATTGAAGTCCTAAGCATTATATATATAATTATTTAAGATTTCTCAGTTTTCTTCTGAAAGAACGATACAAATTCTCAGATAATAAATAAATAGGCGACAGTGCAAGATAAATAGTCTAAGTCACTTCTCATACATAAAATGTAGTCCCTCGGTGAGACAGCGGTAAGTCTACGAATTTACAGCGCTAAAATCCGGGGTTTGATTCCCCGCGGTGGACAAGCAGATTCCTAATTTTGCTTTTCTCTCAAACAAGCATAAATATTAAACTTAGATGCTACTGTTCTATCGTGTATATGAGATAAAATGTCCTTAACGAATAATAATATTAAAATCAGTAAAGACATATTTATTGAAAAAAAGTTTTCTTTCTCAGCTTTAGACGAGGAAATCGTTTTTATAAATTCCATAGCAAGAATGGCCACAGATCCGCTAATACTCAAGTCAATAACAGTCTATGGATGAAAGTAAAGTAATACCAACTATAGTGCTCTCTCCGAACTTTTACCTGTCTTATTTTTGCTGAAAAATAAACTAACTTTTGTTTGAAAAATATACATGGTAAATTGATAATGTTGAAAATTGAATATTTTAGTTTGAAGGCCTTAGCTGAAAAATAACACTTACTCGTATTTCTTTGCTTACGCTGCCGTAATCAACTACAGCTGTTGTATCAAGAGAAAACCCCAGGTATCACATATGAATACTCTGTCCCGAAAAATATGAGCAGTCCTCAATCTGACGCGTATTCTTGGACTTTTGATGACTTCAGTGATTGCTCTCGAACCTGTGGTGGTGGTATGTCCTGATATATTCATTATAATGCATTAATCCTTTATTTGTTTTGTCGCACTTTGAAATTATTTGCCCAATTTTTTCTCTAAATTACGTTCACTTTTCTTTCATGATCTGCCTAGTTTACTCTGAACAAACTTCATATAACACAATCTTGAACTATGTTTAAAACAAAAACAGGATTGAAGCTTATTAAACCTTATAGAAACTGTTTTTTTTCCGAATGGCATTGATATATTCCCTGTTTTGTTTCGATTTGTTTGAATATGAACAACAGCACAACAAGTTATGAAATGTTTGTCTGATGTAACATCTTAACAATATGTAAAAATACAATAACCTATACGTGTTTGCTTTTATTTCATTCTCATAAATTAATTTCCCATTTAGATGTTTGGTATGTGTAATAATTGTTTAGACGTTAGAAGAAATGTATTTATATCATATTTGCAATTTAAAATTCATTGTTAGGTTTTAAAGAACGCCATTTTGTGCAGGTTAATCGATTATTTAGCGTAACGAATGGATTGTTTTTTATTTAGGTTTTCAGCAACGAGCAGTCAGGTGTGTCCGAACTAGCGGGTTCGAAGAAGTCCCGGAATTTTTATGCGACCCTCTTTTGAAGCCCATCACCAACCGCACTTGCAACAAAGAAACTTGTCCACCAGTGTGAGTGGATATTTTACATTAAAAATTGTTTAAAATGTCATGATCTTCCCGACATTAAAGATACGGATAAAAGACAATAGCTTAAATGAGTCTTGATCTGTTCCACATTAGAATTATAAAATTTGTTTATTGACGTGTATTTTAGTATATGAATATACATTTGAACTGCCTCATTAAGCAGAACAACACAGAAGTATGCCGAATACAACAATATACATTTGATTGTAATTATTTCATTCATTCTGTGCCATCTCCATTATATATCAGGAGTGGAGGAAGCAGTTTTGTGCAAAGCGTGCTCCGGCAAACATGCAGAGTTTGATTATAATGAACCATCAACACTGTCTTGAGTCCTTCTTGTGCATTCATTTGTTGTCGTCTTTTTTGCTCTCTTTCTTTCCAACTTTCATTCTAGCATAAACTTCAGTATCTTGTTGTGCCTCTTTATATGTCCAAAGTATGTAATTAGTTAAGTTAGTGTTATTTCGTTATTGTTATATCAGAAGAAACTGATCTGTGATTAAAGTTGGTTAGCGTTCAAATTTCCATTGGGCCATTTTTCAGGTTTCTTCTTTAAAATATTCCTTTTTACTTAGTGTCAAAGTTCGCACGAAAACTTAAAAAGATATTCGATGACACGTTTCCAAGTAAGGAAATATAGAATGTATATCTCTTGAAGCTATATAATATTGTTATGTGATATACATAATACCCTAAACTAAGCAACAAAACCGTGAGGCTTAAACTACATCTAGTCCAGTCTTCTTGTTGGAATTTGTATTTATATAACTATGTTTATATCCTTGCTATTTAAACAATTTCTGGTGTTGTCCATCGTCCTAGGTGGTTCTGGCGCACGTATTTTTCTTCTTTTATTTTTCGGTTTTATGTACTGTAATATGATACAAGACAAAACCCATAAAATGGTCTTGAACTCTTATTAGCTCCTATTCACCCAGCTAGATTATCCGTAAGATATGTGTTTCCGTGAAGTCCACAGTCACTCTTTTAGCGAAAGTATATAAAAAATTATTATCTTTCTATCAAGTTTGAAAAACCTTCGGAATCTGAGAACACAACAAGATGATTCTTTTTTCAGGTGGTTTGTTGGTGAGTGGAGTAACTGCTCGAGACAGTGTGGAAGAGGTGTACAGTTCCGTGTTGTTTACTGTCACCGATTTACAGAAAATGGAGTTATTCTTGTCAGCGACGATGACTGTGAACGGCAGAATGGTTCTAAGCCTAGTTTTATCCAACATTGCACAACTGGGCAGAAATGTCCAACGTGGTATGCCGGACCTTGGTCTGCTGTAAGTATTAGAGTCTGTTTTATTGCTTCCTGTTTTTACTAGTATTCACAAGGTAATATAATAGAACACATGATATTTCTACTGCAGGTCATTTAAGACAGTATGGGGGTTATCAGGTTTGACTATACACATGCAATTTAAAAAAAATACAAATAATACATTTTTTACCAGAAATATTCTTTCAAAATTTCTAAAGAATTGACATAAGAGACAATAGGCTTTAATACTCTGTGTAATAGTATATTTATCGTATAGTCTTAGGAAAGTTCTTATTATACTGATCTAGTGATTATTTTCTACCAGAAACTTATTATATATGCTTTTCATTGGGATATCTAAATTTAATATATATTAGGAAGTAAGTCTGAAAACAAAATAGTTATTTATTCCCGAATATTTCTGACGCATCCACTATTTCAAGCAAGATAAATCGTATTTGAAAATTCAAACAATAACTTCGGTTATATATTATTTTGTTTATTTGCTAGTGTTTTAAATTTGTGATCCACAGTGTAAAAACAAAACAAAAAAAAATCCGTAGGAATGGTACTCAAACCAGAACTGTTGGTTCATTACTTACTAACTTTACGATTTGATTTACCCCCACCCCTCTACCAGTGGCCCAGTGAAAAGCTTGCCGGCTTTTTATGTTAAAATGCAGGGCTCGATTCCTCACGGAATATAGCGTACAAGTATCCCATTGTGTAGGTTTGCGCTGAAAAATACAACATCGTGAAAGATTCCTTGTGCGTGTGCTGCCATCTATAATATATTTGAAATTGTCTAATAACCGTAAATCACGTCACAATAATCCTTTCTTCTTTTGCCGCATTAGGAAGGAAATGATGTTCGCCATATATTTATGGCCTTCTGTGGAATATTAATTTTAAATTACTTTATCTAAAACTGAATTTAGTAATCATTCGAGTTCTTACTTCCATAGTTCTGTGGATTTTGTCAATGTTTTTGATACCCTAGAACAACCTTAACATATATTGTAAAACTGGATTAAAATGTTTATTGTCTAGATAAAATAACTCTCATTGAGAAGCCTATTCTTGATGAATTTATTGTTAAAAATTCAAATCAAACTAATTGAGACGTAAAATATTTCAGAAAAAAACCCATAAAGTTGAGGTAGATGATTTGTTGTAGATTATGTGGAGTTGTGTTGGCTTTATCTTCTTTTTTTTTCAAATGAAAAGGACTAATATTTTCTGTTTTTTTACTGCTATTGCTAACGTTTTTCTTGAACTCTACCAGTGACATGTATTTTTTACAGCATAAAGAAACTAAATATATTTTATTCGGAGTACAAAATTTTACTATTTGTTCAAATAACTTTTTACTCTCATAACAGGTGTGGAATTATGAATTAAATGTAAATAGAATAAGTTAACTGACATTTTTTATATGTTACTTAAACTTAAAGCTTACACCAAATAAAACTTAAAGATAAACATGTAGAAAACGACTGTTAATCTAATTTATTTACTTATTGTCATATTACTGTTAATTTCTCGGAACAATTCTGTATTAAGTGACAAAGAATCTTCCACATTATCTTTATGGACTATTAAGGGACATAAGAAAAACTGTAACAGTTTATTTTTGCCCCCCAGTGGCATAGCAGTTTGTCTGCGGACTTACAACGCTAGAAACCGGGTTTCGATACCCATGGTGGGCAGAGCACAGGTAGCCCTTGTGTAGCTTTGTGCATAATTAAAAAACAAACAGGTAATTTATTCCTATTAAATATTTAATAATTCAAAGTAATATAACAAACGTATATTCCAATCACAAAATCATTCTTCAGTAGCATTTTATAACATAGTGTTACGTCTCTGTATGTTTGTTTATTAATTCTTCTAAGATACAAGTCCTTTCTTTATAAAACTTGTTTATTCTTCCTCAATAAAACTTTGTAATGTACTTAATTTTCACAGTTACACACTATGTTCACAACAATTCACTCATTTTCTATCGCGCATAGACTTAATTGTCCGTCCCCGCAAACTATAGTTCCGATCTCAGTGTCTGCTATCCTCAGTTCCCGCCGACCGTAATCGCTGTCTTTCTTTCTCTCCGCCTGCTTCGTCTCCGCTACGTCTCTGTCTCCACTACTGCTTCGACTCCGTCTCTCTCACTGTCTAGCGCACTTATATACGATAATACTGCCTGTTCTAGAAACTTCTAAGACTCTCAACACGTGCTACCAGCGTCAATTGACTCCCGCTGTCGCAACACACTAGCGAATCTTCTAGAATATTCGTCACGTGACCCCGCTGTCGTAACACACTAGCGAATCTTCTAGAATACTCGTCACGTGACCCCCACTGTCGTAACAATAGCATAAAGTTTACTATTCAGTTTTCGTATGAAATGTATTGTTTAGCATTTTCATGAAAAATATTAAACTTTTTAGAGATTAACATTTGTTTGGAACTATATTAGAAAACAACTTAAATTCTCATACAAATAAGGGGCCTTCCAGTGGCACAGCGGTATGTCTGCCGACTTACAACGCTAAAATCCGGGTTTCAATACCTGTGGTAGGCAGAGCACAGATTGCCCATTGTGTAGTTTGTGCTTACTTACAAACATATAAGGGAGTGATAAACTATAAGGAAGTACAGTAATTTCTGAAAGCTGAAAATCTTTCTTTCTGTTAGAGTATTATAGCTTTAACAGTTAAAGTCCACTATGTACATGTTGAATTATATAAAATACTTTTTTTGTACAGTTTACATATCTAAAATAATTACTTGTTTTGTACAGTCTGCATATTTTATTCAAATTTGCGATTCACAGTGTAACAAGATATGTGGAAATGGTACTCAGACTAGAACTGTAACATGCCAAAAGGATAAAGAAAAGATAGGAGATTTCCAGTGTGACTCTGAGAGTCGACCTGTTGCAAGCCAAACTTGTAATCTTGGGCCATGTGAAGGTGTGGAGTGGATTGTTTCAGATTGGAGTGGGGTGAGCACTGGATGTATTTTTAAGCAAGAAAACTGTTTAAAGGATAGTATAATCATTGTAATTCTTCCTTCAAAATAAGTCAATTAAAATATTTAAAATTCCATTTCACAGTTCTGTCAATGATTATCATGTGAAAGAAGTATTTGATTAAGTGTGCTTTGACATTAGTTATATAACCTAAAATCTACCATGTATATTAGGAAATGCAATAAAAATATTTTGAATGATTCAGCATGCATACTTTTGGATTAATATACATGTGCATTTTAAGCATTTGTTTAAAGTCTTTGATCAGTTGGAAGTTGTCTGGTCATGTTTTTTCTTTACATCCAAAGTATGTACTTTAACAGATGCATATTTCGTCTTACACATAGATGTAATCAGTTCTTTTAATTTTAACTCACCTAGCCTTATCTATCCATAGTTTTAACTAATAATGGTTAAAAGCAATTTCTTAGTATGTAACAACTTCTCTTAATTTCATCACACATTTATATAAGATCCTTCATTGTATTTTAGCATAACAGATCCTCCTTAATAACACAGGAAAAATATTAACAGTTACTGTCTTCAATAAGAGAGGGAAAAAAAGAGTAGCTGACTTATTTGCAAATACAAAATGAAATATTTGTTGATCCTTGTAATGAAATATTACACCACAGTCACCAAACAACACAATTTGTAAATAATAGATTTGTTTATACAAATGGAACATACAGTTGTTTCTGTAGGAAGATTGTGTAACATTGTTAAAACACTGTTCTATTTCTTCATTTCCAAGAATTTCTTGTTTTTCTGGAATAGTGTGACAAACTGTGTGGATTAACAGTGGAGTCTCGAGTCACTCACTGTGCTAACCGGAAAGGTAAAGTTTTCTCTCCTGATATGTGTGACAAGAATCAGCTTCCTGAACTTAAGCGTCCATGTAGTAATTCTCATCTCTGTGAAAGTTCATGGTTTGCATCAGAGTGGAGTGAGGTAAATAGATTACCTTGTTTATGATAAAAAACATAAGAAACAAGTGGATTATAGAAGAACAGACTACTACCCATATAAATTGCTTCTAAACCTCTGAAAGTGTAAACAAATTCATACAGTAAAAGGTGGTTATTTTTGTTAGAGGGGAAAAAAAGTGTTGTTTGTAATAGATAAGTTTTCTTCCATGTTTTACTTTTGTTAACATTATATAAAGAAATTCTTGGGTTTTACATAGTTTAAAATATGTTTAAGTCTGTTGAAAGTTTCTGGTAAAATGTTGCAAAATATCTTAAACACATATGATGATCACTTATTTATTCAATGATTGATTCAAAGTTATACATATGGTACTCTATGATTTGAAAAACTGGAAAATATTTACCACTGTTTCTCATGCTTCATTAAATATAAATTCCATTTGGAATGCTAGTATTTTCTGTTTTCATGATCAACAAAACTTTTAGGTCTAGGTGTCTGTGATTATGCTTAAATATTTTAGTTGCATATATATTCTTAATAACCACTCAGTGAATTATGTCACTAATTATATATTTTATATCATATACTACTTTTTATACTAAATATCTACTATTGACATGTAGTATTACATAACACTCCAACTCACATTAGTTCTCCTTGCATTTAACTGCCAGGCAAAATCTGTTTGTCAAAGATAATAGTAAACAAAGATTTGTTTATACCTCTTCTTTTCACACATACACACAGAAGTTCAACCTTGAATTAAAATTTCATTTTTCTAATTAGTTATAGGATTTAAAAACTTAAATTTTTTGAGTAGAAATTTCAAATATGACTAATGTCTCACATTTAATTTTTGTTTTTTTTTTGGTCAGTGCTCAACGAAATGTGGGGAAGGAGTTCAAACTCGAAATGTTTTCTGTGGCTACTGGAAGGACAATGAAGTGGTTAAAGCTCAAGAAAGTCAATGTAACAGCCATAAAAAGTATGCAGGAACTCGTAACTGTACAGGACCCCCTTGTAAAACTTCATGGTTCACAGGGCCTTGGAATAGAGTGAGTTATTTAAAAAAAAAGGGTTTTGGCTGGATGAAACCTTAACAAACAAGATCATATGCACAATATGCAGCAACTCGTAACTGTACAGGACCCCCTTGTAAAACTTCATGGTTCACAGGGCCTTGGAATAGAGTGAGTTATTTAAAAAAAAAGTTTTGGCTGGATGAAACCTTAACAAACAAGATCATATTGTGTACATACAAAAAAAAAGGTGATTGAAACCATTTGGCTCATGAGATAACTCCTTGTCCCTAAACAACAAGTCCTATAACACTAACTATCTAAATGTAATCTTTAGTTTGCATCAATCTTCCTACCTAATAGAGATTTGAAGAATCCACAGACTTACTGAGTCTAGATCATGATTTCCAAAGTTATGCACATTACCTTCAGTCCAGAAATCAAAAAGAGTTTTAAAGGTAACTTATCCAACCCAAAACTTTAAACAGTTTTAAACATGTCAGTCAAAATATTTCAAGTTCATGTATGTTCCAACAAACTCTTCCTAGTAGCTAAACACTTCCCAGAATAACTGATATCTTTTTAATGTTAAGGAGATAAAATACAGTACTCCAAAAGCCTCCTTAGGTCTGGTTAGTACAATCAGACACTTTGCTGAAAGCTTACTGTTCTTTTTTTTTTATTCTACAATCATATCAAAATTTGCTCCATCTAAACAACACTAGCTTTCCTTTCTTACAATAAATAACTTCTTTATTAAGCTTATACATTTTAATTAAATGACTACACTTTTTAGTAAGGAGATTACACATTTTTGATTACTTTCTAATTTTCTCTAGTTCTTTGGATCAAAAGATCTTCCTCAGTGTCCATCCAGTCTCCTTAGCAACTTGGTATCTTCAGCAAATGTTGATGATCTTCTGAATTCCTGTAATTGAACTCACTCAATTAGAAAAGATTCTCCATTATTACCACTCTCCTTTATTTTCCACAGTATACTCTTTTTTCTATTTAATCATGTCATAATAATCAAGCAATTAATTAGGTATGACCTGTGATAGCAGTTTGAAACAGTCTCATAAACTATTATATGTGACTAAAACTCATTAAATTGTCCAAAAATAACACACCTTTCGTTTTAAGTGGGTTGAAGTGGTAGAGAAGTTTGTTTTATAAGAGAATTAACTTACTGGACATTTAATAAACTTGTATTTATTAAGTTTAGCTGGTTTTTATTACCAACTATATTTAAGTTTTTTCAATAGAGTCAAACTAACATCACTCTTTCTTTTATTTTGTAATAGACACTATAAAGTGACTGTTTTTTGTGTTTTTTTTTGCATAACAGTGCTCAGTACCTTGCGGTGGTGGATACCGAAAAAGGAAGATACTCTGTATTAGTGAAGAAAATTTTAGTTCTTCTAAAGATTGTGATTCAAGCTTGCGTCCTTATGATGAGGAACCATGCAACATGTATCCTTGTGATGAAGGTATGCCCACCACAGGTATCAAAACCTGATTTTTAACATTATAAGCCTTCAGACTTAGTGATGAGCCAGCAGGGAGCAGGTATATTTATGACATGTTAACTAAACTGAAATAATAAAAATAAGTATTGAAATTATTTTCCTAAAATGTGGTCTATGAGGGTACTACAGGGAGTCTGTGAATTATGTTTGAAACATCAATAAAATATTTTTAAAAATGTGATTTATATAATAAAAGATATTTAAAAAAAATGTAATTTATATGAATTAAAACATTTAATTTTAGAATACAGTTTTTCATGTACATGGAATCTTTTTTCTAAAGAAGAAACATAGATAGGTTTGGGGGGGGTCCATAAAAAAGGGGTCCTTGGGTTATTAAAGTTTGAGAATTGCCGTTTTAGTGCAATCCTTACCTTTTTTTTAATCTTCTTTTCTAGTATGTGAGAGTGACAAAGTTATAACAACAGCCTAGATCCTCTGAACTCCTCTACCGTTTGTTTCTGCACATTGTCATCCCTATCTTACGATTACAAAGATGCACAATTGTAACTTTAGACAATGTAATAAGCAAGCAAAAGTACACATATGCACACAGACAAAACATTTATAATGCATGTATGTAAAATGAAAAAGATAAATTCAGTTAATAATATGAAAGAGAAATTTCAAGATTAACAGAAAAACAAAATTGAATCATCATGTTGAATTAAAATATTTAGATAGATATCAAAACATTAAATAAACCCTGATATAGTTCTGCTATATAATTTTTGCCAAAACTCATTCCTAATAGTTAACTCAAACTGTATTAGATGTATTGAAAATTTTCTTAAACTGCTTGTGCTGAAACGTGTAAATATCAACTAGTAACCTGTCAATAAAAGTATTAAGTCTCTTTACAACTAGGCCCGGCATAGCCAGGTGGTTAGGGTGCTAGACTCGCAATCTGTGGGTCACGGGTTTAATTCCCTGTCACACCAAACATGCTCGCCCTTTAAGTCGTGGTGTGATATAATATGATGGTCAATCCCACTATTCGTTGGTAAAAGAGTGGCCCAAGAGTTGGCGGTGGGTGGTGGTGACTAGCTTCCTTCCCTCTAGTCTTTCACTGCTAAATTAGGGATGGCTAGCACAGATAGCCCTCGTGTAACTTTGGGCGAATTCCATAACAAACAAACTTTACAACCACAATGTTTTGTAAAGTTCAATACTAAATTAAATTAAATATATCAAGTGCAAACTGACCTTTTATGTTTTAAAAGCCTTTTATGACCTTTAACAATAATTCATATGTTCTATTCAATAATTAATATAATACTTTTTGTTTCACTTTTAACTTCATAGTATGTTTTGAAATTAGTTTTATTTCATATCACTGCTTCCACAGATGAGATTATAATAGCTGGAGGTTGCAAGAAAACCAAACATGGCTGTTGCCCTGATGGAGTGACCCCAGCTGGGCCAAACATTTCAGGTTGCCCCAAACTCTCTTTTCCAAAAGGTGGTTGTGAGGTCACTGACTTTGGCTGTTGCAAGGATGGTATAACCCTTGCTTTTGGCCCATTTAAGTAGGTGTAAATATGGTAGTGTATTATATCAGTTTTGTTAATATTTTCATCAATTACTGAAAACGGATTTTCAAATGTTATCTAATTACTTATTGTCTGCAATATACCTGTTACAGTCTTCTCCTTAAAATTCATTATAATAACAAAATAAGTTTATGCAAGACACTATCAGTTTGTTTCTTGACACAACTATACATATATATACATATAATCTAAATCAGGCATTTAATGTCACACAATGCAAATTAATTATATTTGTATTAGTATTATTTTTATTAGTTATTTAACACACTTGACATCTCTTCAGTGTGATTTTATCACTTCTCTCTGTATTACATTGTTTTTTTTCATTATAAGGTATTGTAGTAAAAGACTTTTGCTTCTTACTTTTCAATGCCCTAAATATATATATCAATAAATAGCTGACATATGTTATGCCTGAAACAGAACTCATCTATAGTTATCACAATAATATAACATAACTGCTCAAACAATAAATCTAAAATACAAAACAGATACAATTACCCACTAAAATAAAATACAATTACTCAGTACTTCTATTTCACTAAGAGTGTGTAACATACATTTAGTTAAACCTCAATAATTAACATCAAATATCAATAACAGCCAGAGTATTCAATTGATAAATCATTGTATTTTAATTGTTATAGAATTTTATGACATTACATATTCATAGTTAGACCAGCATATCAAATTACCTACATTATTTATTGGCTTAAATTTTAGTTCTGACCTATATAGGCATCTTAATGTTATTGATAAGTTATTTAAGTATTGGAAAAAAATCCTGTTGTTATTTTACTTGACAAAAGTATTGATATGTCTGTTAAAACTATTAACAAGTTTTATAACAGAATATTATATGCTCTTGTTTTTGGTGTATGTTTTGCTTTATTTTGTATAAACCTACCTTTAGGGAAGGTTGTGAAATCGTGACTACTTGTAATGGAACAAAATTTGGCTGTTGCCCTGATGGACTAACTCCTGCCCACAGTGAAGCAGGAAATGGTTGCCCAAGTAATGAAGAATGTAAAGATTCAACCTATGGCTGTTGCCTTGATGGTGAGACAGCTGCAAAAGGTCAAAATGGTGAAGGTTGCCCAAGAGTTGAAAAATGTGAAGACTCAGCTTTTGGTTGTTGTCCTGATGGGGAGACACCTGCACAAGATAAATATTACTATGGATGTTCCAACAATACAACGTGTCAAGATTCACCTTATGGTTGCTGCTTAGATGGAATAACATTTGCAAAAGATGTAAATCTTACTGGTTGTATAGAATCTCATCTTATTACATGTCAAATATCAGAGTATGGATGCTGTCCAGATAACATTACAAGTGCTTTAGGTCCTGAATTATTTGGATGTGATGAGTTTACATCAGGTGAAATGTGTGATATTTCTCTTTATGGTTGTTGTCCTGATGGTTTAACACCAGCTTCAGGACCTAGGAATGAAGGTTGTTCAGAAGCTGATATACCAAGTATTGCATCAGAAGATGTAGAAGGATCTGGTGGATGTGAAGGAGCTGAATATGGATGTTGTCCTGATGGGATATCAATTGCACAAGGACCAGGATTTGGTGGATGTGATGATATCCAAGGTAGTGGAAAACTAGAAGCATGTATAGATAGCTTATATGGCTGCTGTTCTGATAATGTGACCTCTGCTAAAGGGCCACATGGAGAATCTTGTGTAGAACTGATTGGTACAAACATTTCCATCAATTGCAAGGGATCACCATTTGGATGCTGTTCTGACAACATAACAATAGCTAAAGGACCAAATGAAGAAGGGTGTAAGGAATTAAATATTACAGGAGTCCCTATCAATTGTACAGAAACTGCATTTGGTTGTTGTCCTGATAATGTCACATCAGCTTTGGGCCCTGATATGGAGGGCTGTACAGTTTCTGAGCCTACTAAAATAGATTTTGCTTGTTTAGTCTCCCATTTTGGATGTTGTTCTGATGGTTTTACTTATGCTGAAGGTCCAAACAACAAAGGTTGTTGTCGAGTAACTAAATATGGCTGTTGTCAGGATAACATCACAGCTTCTCAAGGGCCAGCATTTGAAGGCTGTGAAGAAGTAAATGTCACTGAACAAGAAAGCAAAGAGGTTGTACCAGACTGCAGTACGTTTTTATTTGGTTGTTGTCCTGATGACATCACTCCATCACAAGGACCAAATGGTGAAGGCTGTTGCTTCACTTCTCGGTTTGGTTGCTGTCCAGATAACATTACTACTGCAACAGGGCCAGAATACTTTGGATGTGGTTGCCAGGCTTTCCCTTATGGATGTTGCCCAGATGATGTTACTCCAGCATCAGGTCCAAGGTAAGAAATATTCCCTTGTAATATCCTTTACTTTATTAGTACACAGAACAATTTTTGGAATAAATTTTTATCTAAGCTTATAAAAATTAAAAGCTAGAGGTGGTAAATGAACTCTCAGTATTAAAATAAACATTCTTGGAAATATACAATAACCAAAAACTTCCTCATCTTGTTTTAATTCCATTAAATCAGCATTTCACAATTTGTTCTATTGTCCTCAATAAAACCATTTTGTAAGGTGAAGGTTCTGTTTTTACCAGATTTATTTTAAAAACAAGCAGGATTGATGATAACTGCATTAGGAAAATTTCTTTGCAAGACTGCGTGTTCAAAGAACAGTTCAATCAAATTAAGCACAATAATCAAATATCACATTTCATTCAAAATGATAATGGTCTAGCACTAAGCAACAAAGCATGTCACTAGTAAAAGCAATATATTTAAATATTTTCAGATTCCTGTATCATTATGGTCTATAGATACTTAGTTTGCCCCTGAAGAAGAAAGGTCCACCTTTCAAAAGCACTCGGGTTATAGGGTTTTTATTCATTTCCATCAAGACTTCTAGAACCTACATGTTTTTCTAACATCATTAACAGTTATAATAATGCTATTGTTAGTTGTATAATATTTCTGTAGGCTAATGAAATCCCTTGTATGTGCATATATATGTTTGTATGAAAGTAATGACATTAATTATTTCCTTAAAAATAGTGTAATAAGACGGATTAAATTATCAATATTTATTTATTTTTAAGGTACAGTGGATGTACTTGTAAAGAATACCCCTTTGGATGCTGCCAGGATGACTACTTTCCAGCTAATGGCCCAAATTTAGAAGGTTGTTTGTGTGATAGATTACTCTATGGTTGTTGTGATGATGGTATTACCCCAGCCACAGGACATCATAAGAAGGGTTGTGGTTGTTCAACCACTAAGTTTGGTTGCTGTCCTAATAGCAGTAGTGTTGCCAGTGGTCCTCAATATCAGGGTTGTTCATGTGACCTTTTTGGACAAGGATGTTGTCCAGATGGAAATACTCCTGCTAAAGGACCAGATTATGAAGAATGCCCTTGTGAGACCCTTCCCTATGGATGTTGTCCAGACAATCTTACACCAGCAAGAGGATTAAATTATGAAGGGTGTGGGTGTAAATTTGATAAACATGGATGTTGTCCTGATGGAATAACTACTGCCAAAGGACCAAACTACCATGGATGCCTCTGTGAGACATTTCCATATCGATGTTGCCCAGATGGACAAACTTCTGCAAAGGGACCAAATTATCAAGGATGTCCTTGTGAAACACTATCTTATGGATGTTGCCCAGATAAGTACACTCCAGCAGAAGGACCAGATTATCAAGGATGTCCTTGTGAAACACTATCTCATGGATGTTGTCCAGATAAGTACACTCCTGCAGAAGGACCAGATTATCAAGGATGTCCTTGTGAAACACTATCTCATGGATGCTGTCCAGATAATCACACCATGGCAGAAGGGCCAGATTATCAAGGATGTCCTTGTGAAACACTATCTCATGGATGCTGTCCAGATAATCACACCATGGCAGAAGGGCCAGATTATCAAGGATGTCCTTGTGAAACACTATCTCATGGATGTTGTCCAGATAATCACACCACTGCAGAAGGGCCAGATTATCAAGGGTGTTCCTGTGAGACATTTTCATATGGTTGTTGTCCAGATAGAACCATTCCAGCAAAAGGGCCAAATTATCAGGGATGTCCTTGTGAAACACTATCTCATGGATGCTGTCCAGATAATCAAACCCCTGCAGAAGGGCCAGATTATCAAGGGTGTTCCTGTGAGACATTTTCATATGGTTGTTGTCCAGATAAAACCATTCCAGCAAAAGGGCCAAATTATCAGGGATGTCCTTGTGAAACTTTTCTGTATGGTTGCTGTCCAGATAAACAAACTCCTGCAAAAGCAACAAATTATCAAGGCTGCCCTTGTTCTACAATGCCTTATGGGTGTTGTCCAGATGGTGTGACTGTAGCAAAGGGGCCACATTATGAGGGTTGTTCTTGTGTAGACACTCCTTATGGCTGTTGTCCAGATGGTAAACACATCGCCAATGGTTCCAATTTTGAAGGATGCCCTGATGTTCCTGTCATTGACCTAAAAATTTCAGGAGGTAAGCTGATAAATTATAAAAATGTAAACTAAAATCTAATTTAAAATATTTTTAAGTTCTCAATAAAATATCTTAAACATTCTTATCATAAGTTACATGTATTATAAGGTTACCTTTTTGTGTTTTATCAAGTAACCATATATTTTCTTACTTTCTTGACAAAAATAGTATTTCAATCATCAGCTACTTTAAGAGAATGGACTAAACAAACTGACTTGAAATTACTAGTTAATGTCACTTCTTTTTTTTAAATGAAATTTTCACATTGAAATTTATAATAAAAGCATTGAAGCATGTATTTTAAACCTGGTCCAGTGACTTCAAAAGATGCATTAGTAAGAGGATTGTAGCACTAGAATCTTCACCTCCACATTGATGTGTAGTTGATGATACTCAGAAAGAGAATGAACCTAACTTTGTTAGATATTATTGGGATTATGGCTGAAAACATTGCTAACACAGCAAGAGTACTCAATTGATGAATCAACACATTCTAATCATTATAAGTTTTATGACTTTTCATACATCTAAGTAGAATGACATATTGAACTAGCTATATTACTTGTGTAATGTAGTTTTGATCTATATATATATATATTCACAAAACAAGACATGTAAAACATGCACACAAAAAGTAACATATAAATGTTAATGGAACACATCCATATGTAATATATTACACCATATTCAGTATCAGCTAGGTTCATTAATTTTTTGTTGTAGCTTAACTTGGATCATTGAAGATGATTCCCAGAGCTTATTGAAATATAATGATACTGACTTGATATTTTATCAAAAATATGCAAATAATAATATGCTTTAACAATTAACTCAGATATTGTAAGTTTCACAATTCAACAAACTTACCAAAGTTCACTTCTTTTAGGAATTCAAATAGGTTATTTATCTAAAAAGAATTACAATTTCAAAATAATTGGGCCTAGTTTTATTTAGCTCTGTAACTTGCTTACTTTAACATAAGAAGACTTTGAACTTATAAAGGAGTATGTTTTCCTGTAAACTTAAACAGAATATGGTTACTAGAACTTTAATGAGTTAGTTAATTTCCTGAACTAATTTCTCTTGATTCACAAAAACTGTTGTAATTTTGCTTGGGTTATTTTTCCTAGACTTAATTGAAACATTGTATAATTCATTCTAGAGATATTGTTTTTCTACCTTTCTCTATAAAAATGTCTAATCCAATATTGTGACGTGATGTATATCAGCCAAACTTGAAATATACAACTACAGTGAACACTTTACAAAATATTAGTATCATGCAACTGCATACAAAATTGTTACAAGAAGAAAATAAAAGCTGTAAAAATAATATATTATTTTCTACACAACTTTTGCTTATCCTCAACTAATACTAGAACACACAAATACAACTATATTTATGTATGAGGTTAATTGCCTTTATTATTATTATCTAGTTTAAATTGGAGGTTTTCTGTGCTGATGATACTGATAGTGCATTGTATTTTAAACACATTCCAGAGGTTTGCAAATTACCACAAGAAGTTGGAGCTTGTCGTGACTATGTTGTTAAATGGTTTTTTGACATAGAATATGGTGGTTGCACTAGGTTTTGGTATGGGGGATGTGGTGGCAATAGAAATCAGTTTAACTCAGAAGAAGAATGTAAAAACGTATGTGTTGAGCCAAAAGGTGGAGGTAAGATCAATACCAGTATTAATACTCTACATAATATAGAGTAATCCTTATGTAAAAACCATTTATAAAATTTGCAATCAGTAAACCTTTATCTAGTGAAATGGTTTTTGCTAATACTTATTTCAGAATTGATAGTTCTATAAAATATAAGATTTTTGAGGCAGGAAAAAATGTAAAAAACAGCATTTTGATAATGTGATATATAAGTTTGAAACTGTTTGAACAACCATTTGAGTTTTTATACAGATGGTCAATTTTGGATTCAATTGTATTTAAGTACCTAAATAATTGTTGTTGGATTTTATTATAAAATATACAATTCCTTACCTTCTTTTCAGATGCTTGTGTGCTACCTAAAGTACAAGGATCTTGCAATGCTCCATATAAAGCATGGTATTTCAACACAGATAAAAAACTGTGTGAATCATTTAACTATAGTGGTTGTCTTGGTAACAACAACAGATTCATTAGTAAAGAAATATGTGAAGAAACATGTATCACTCAAGATTTACTTGGTATGTTTTTTTTTCTAAGTATTTTGTTTCAGCTGTACTCTAGATATAAAACTTAGAAATGTCTTATCAACATCTATTGTATATGCTAAAAAAATGTCTTGTCTTGAATGAGATATTGTATCATTTTTGTTTTAATTTTATGTATATTTTTGTTTTTATTTCATTATATTTTATGCTCTTTTCCTAACAAGTTTTGAGACTCCAGACCTCAGGTAAAGTTTTGAGTGAACAAATTTAGAATAGCTATACTATGCTAAATTTTCATTCAGAATCTTAATTATTTACCACATACTTTGGTTTCAAAGATGTAATTTCAAACCACTATTCATTAGGTGAAATGTGCTTCAGAAAATTTCGTTTTATAAGTTTTTTACTGTGAATGTTTATTGTATAGTAGACTTGAGACTGATTTTCAAGCCTTTAAAATATTTTGTTTTGATAATGAAAGCTATGACAGTGTTAAAATGGGTATTTTCAACCTTTATGGCGGCTTATGTGCATATGGGCTAAAAAGCCAAGTAGTCAGTAAACCCTAAAATTCATAGCTTCCATAATTTTAAACTCCTGACCAAAGAAAATGCAATCATTAGCACCCATCACCACAAAGGCTTTGTTCAGCTATTCTAACTGAATAACATTACAAACCTTGGGTCTTCTAATCTATAATCCAGTATATTAATCACAAGATCAGGCCAAGCAGTACTGTGACAGTATATTAACTTTATACATGTGTTAGTACCCACACATTTTATGGTGCACATAATGTTTTTTTTTTTTTATGAAGACCTCAAGGACTTTATACACAACTCAACTTATGAAATGAAACATTTATAGTTACGTTGTAGAGTACATTAATAAACTAAACAATTTAGATAATATTAAGTATAATATTATATACTATTCTTTAACTTCAGTAAGAAGTTCTTAGTAATAATTATACTATTTTGAATACTGTAATTTATGGAGTTTATTCCCTTCTGAAAATGAAACTATAGTTATTTATTATTTAAATTTCTGATATATTCACAAATGTGAAAGTCAGTGTACCTGTACTATCTTGATTTTTTGTACTTTAACGTGTTTTCTTTTTTCTTTTTTTTTACTTTATACACATTTCTGTACAAACATATTTAATTCTTTGAATTCTACTTTAGATGTTTGTGATCAGCCCCTGGTAGTTGGTCCATGTATGGGATCTTTCTCTCGCTGGTATTATAACAGGTTTGATGGTCGCTGCAAGCAATTTAAATATGGAGGATGTAAGGGAAATGAAAATAACTTTGCAACTGAGAGTCAGTGTGAACATCGATGTGCTTCACTTAGTGCCAAAGGTAATAATTTGTGGAGACAAATCGAATTTTAGATTCTTTTATTGTAGAAAAGTAGTGACACCATAAATGTCATGGTTTCTTTTCTGGGGTTTAGTTATCAACAAAATTAAAATTTGTACGTTATTGCTAGAAACAAGGAGCAGAGAAAATTAAGTTTTTTGTTTAGAGAAATGCAATATTGCTATTTCACTAATTCTAATAAAGTGGGTCAAATAATTTTTTGTTAAATGAATCAGGTATAATATTGTTACGTCTCCGTTTGTTAATTGATTTTTCCGTAACTTCGTTCCGACGAAACTTTAACGACACAAGTCCTTACTTAATAAAACTGGTTTATTCTTTCCAATTATAACTTTACGATACACTTATTTTCAACAATCGCTCTTTTACAAACGTTTTAACAACGAACGTTAACTTCAAC